TGTAAGTATAGCATGTTAACCTGTAAGTATAGCACGTTAATCTGTAAGTATAGCACGTTAACCTGTAAGTATAGCACGTTAATCTGTAAGTATAGCACGTTAACCTGTAAGTATAGCACGTTAATCTGTAAGTATAGCACGTTAATCTGTAAGTATAGCACGTTAATCTGTAAGTATAGCACGTTAACCTGTAAGTATAGCATGTTAATCCGAAAGTATAGCACGTTATATTGAGAGTATAGCACGTTAATCCGAAAGTATAGCACGTTATATTGAGAGTATAGCACGTTAATCCGAAAGTATAGCATGTTATATTGTAAGTATAGAACGTTAATCTGTAAGTATAGCACATTATCGTGTAAGTATAGCACGTTAAGTATAGCACGTTAATCCGAAAGTATAGCTGATAATCTTCTCTTCGGAGAACTTAGCGATCCTTATGGGAGCTTGAGGGTAGATGACTCTTATGATATCATGAGAATAATAGAGGTGTCAAACAGTACAGGGGGGAAATGCACGTCAAAGTATCCAGATTTCGGGCAGTGAGTCGACTCATACATATACATAAGTCGACTCATCAAATAGTGTCACATGATACTCATGTGACTACTTAAGGACGAAAATATCATTTACCATGATTTTCCTTCTCCATTTCTTTTTTTTACTGCAGATTTGTTTTTTTCTTTTATTATTTTAGGGAATTCGAACCCTATAACTTTTAAACTCCATAAAGTATAATAAATAAAATTGTATTGTTTTTTTGGATGAAAATTTTTAGGGGAGAATTAGTGAAAGGTAAAATTTTGTTCTTTACTGAAGAGTTTTTTGATGACAAGTACAAAATAGATTAAAAAAACTAGAAGATAAAATATACTGGAGACTTTTTTTAACTCTAGAGGGTATTGTGGTCATTAAGGAGTCACATTGGTATCATGTGACTCTATTAGATTGAGAACTAATAAGGAAGGGAAGAAAGCGTTACTTTTTAAACCACGGGGGGATTTTGTTAAAATTGCAAACCTCTGGGAATTTAGTGTTATTTACCCTAAAAAAAGAATATATTCATACCAATCTGGTAAATATTCATTTGGGTTTTTAATATATCTAAACTGACCTATGACGTAGAAAATTATAATAGAAAAAAGAATATAAAGAAACAAGAACATTATCAAAACAATTTTTTAATGATCTATAATTAATTTTTTTAAATGTTAAGATTGAAGAAAATAGAATAAAAGGACGACACTAAGAATATACGGAAAAAACAATAAAATAAATAGGATTAAATGATTATTCATTTTAATATAATAAATACTCACTCTGTCTCTCCCTCTATCTTGCATTAACCTTTTGTTTTCATCTCAAATCTATAGACGATAACCATAAAAATACAATAGGAAATATTATATTATATTCGAAGTTAAACGAAAATAACAATTTTAAAAGAGTGGATTATGTAAGTATTATATATATTTTAATTTACGAAACATATAAATAAAGCTTTTTAAATGCAAGATAGAAATATGTTTATGATTAATTAATGTAAAAATTTAGAAAAAATTGTATCGGGATCCGAAAAGTAGGAACTCCATGTGACCTAGCCCCTTGTATTTTGGCTCATGTGATTCAGCCCCAAAAAGTAGCATTTAATATTTCAAGGCCCCTCCACGCCAGCAGTACAAAAAAAATTGTATTTTGGAAAAAAACCCGATATTGCCCCTCCACTTATCTTCCCCAGACGCCTCTGGTTCTCAAAAAATGAAAAGTCACGTCCCATTAATGCGATCTGACTAAAAAAATGGAGGGGAATTTTCCGCCCTTTTTAAAAATCTATCATGAGCAATAACTCATGTTAGTCCAAAGTTATTTAATGTTATTTCTAACTTATTTCATATTTGTTCTAACTTATTTAATGTTAGTTCTAATGGCAAGTAAGAACTAACTTTAAGTGGAACTAACATTGATGCTTTGGCTACTTTGTCTAGTGGTAAAGCTTGATAATTTGGAGAGGAGCTCAGGAGTTCAAACCCCTACAGTTACAATATATATTTAAAGGTCTTTGATTGGGCCTTGGGGCTCTTTGTTAGTTCTAACTCATTTTATGTTGGTTCTAACTCACTTCATGTTAGTTCTAACTTAAATCACTAGAACTAATGCTTATATTAGAAATAACACTAGCTGGAAGTAGAACTAACATGAAATCAGCTACAATTAATACGATAGCCACTAGAACTAACAGGGTCTCAATTAGAACTAACGTACCAGTAGAACTAACACTTATATTAGAAAAAACACTAACCGGAAGTTAAAACTAACACACATAATTCTTTTCTATTATTGTTTGATGTTGTTGCCTTGCGATCTTAGTCCCAGTAAGCGCTTCGGCCACAACCACAACAAATTAAAGAAAGAATTGATAATAAAATAGCAATAACAACAATAAAAGAGGAGAGGAATTCATCTCACTATTCATTTATAATTTTCGAAAACAATTACAAATAAAATGTTTTATAAAAAATTTCATGACAAAATAATTAATAAAAATTCAAGGTAACAAATTAAAACCAAACATGCTTGATGCACGACGGGTCCAAGCCAATCGAGCATTTAATTAACAACCTAGCTAACGATTTGATTAAACTAACTAGCTCTTGACGAAGCCGTCGATGAACTTGACCCCGGCGTCCCTCAGCCAAGTGACGTCCCCCAGCCAGTTCTCGATCAGGTAGAGGGACGCCTCCTTGTTGATGGGCCCCTGTTGTTGTCCTCGATATAATAGCAGGTCTGGTGGAAGTCGACCCATCCTAAACGGCCCAACCCTCGGGCCTGATCACGTCCCCAATCTCTGACTCCATGACCACCGTCCTCGCCTTCGCCTTCCACGGCCTCCCCAGGGCCTGATCATTTTCAATGACCATGGCGGAAGTGAGAGAGAAGGAGAAGTTGAGAGATAAAGGGTGAGAGAAAGAGAGAGAGAGATGAGATTAATGATGAAGAAATTGGGAATAAACATGGAGGGAGCACAGTAACTGAGTTCAGTCCCATCAAAGGAGCAAATTCGTAACTTCCACTGAGTTTTTTTTGAAATCCGATACTTTGGGGCATCGTCACAAATGCTGTGTGTATTTGGGGCTTATCCACATGTGGCAAAATATAAAGGGCATTGTCACATGAAGTTTTTGTTTTTGGGGTCTGGACACAATTTTCCCAAAAATTTATCTTGATTTAAGGAAAAAATTCAAAATTTTGATTTAGATTTTTGAAAATTTTACTGTACCGTCTGCAAATCTCTGATTGACCTCCTTTATTGTCTTAAAGTCCTCTCATTCTCACCAACGGTCACCATATCACGTCCAAATAATAAAAAAGTCCAAATAATAAAAAAAGCAGCAAAGGAACCGGATGACAAAAAACACAAGAAACACATCCCACCCTCACCAGAAAAAAGAATCAACCAATAATTATTAAAAACTCATCAAACAAGAACAAATTAAAAAAAAAAATATTAAGCATATAAGCAAATACGTAGTATATAACAGGAGCGAGAACACAGGACGATTTGCCTCACTGAGCTTGGACCCTCCAAAACCGAGAGAGAGAGAGAGAGAGAGAGAGAGAGAGAGGAAAAGGTGAAAAAAAAACCCCCAATTCTTCCTTCGGCGATGTCTTCGATGTCTTCGATTCAGCTCGGCCGCTTCTCGAACCTTCTACTTCCGTCGGGGATAACTCCTTCTCGCAGATCGATGATCTCCGTCCGTTGCTCCGCCGGCGGCGACACCGCATCCACTGCGGCGCCGGGGGCGGCTCTGGACGCGGACTTCGACAAGAAGGCGTTCCGTCATAACCTCACTCGAAGCGACAACTACAACCGCAGGGGTTTCGGTCACAAGGAAGCCACCATGGAGCTTATGAACCAAGAGTACACAAGTAAGCAATTAAGGAATGATATTTGAGGATTTTTATCTCGTTTGATTCGATTTGGATTCGATTTAATGTTGGAATTGGGTTTCTTTTGACTACGCAGGTGATGTGATAAAGACTTTGAAGGAGAACGGGAACGAGTACACGTGGGGCGATGTGACTGTGAAGCTAGCAGAGGCTTATGGCTTCTGTTGGGGTGTTGAAAGAGCGGTGCAGATCGCGTACGAGGCGAGGAAGCAGTTCCCGGAGGAGAAGATATGGATTACTAATGACATCATCCATAATCCCACTGTCAATAAGGTTGAAAATCTTTTCCTTTGTTAGATTTTAGCTTTAAATTTTAATCTAGTTGTGGGCTGATGTGTTTTCGGGATTAAATGCCGTAACTTTCCAAGAGGAGCTCTACTTTTACACATATATATAATCAGCATACAAATAGCTTAAATTCCTCTGCTCTATAAACACGTATCAATTTTTTTTTTTTAAGTTCCAGCCACGACAAGTGTGAGTATTTAGTTTTGCCAGATTCTTAAATTGTTGGTCACACTAATAGGATGTAAGAACAATATCCGATTTTTGAGTAAGCAACCACGACGCACTCGTAATTGTTGTACTTGCTAACTTCTTATTGCTTATCATATTTCAGTAATTTCTCTAGAATGAAAATGTAAACAATGTAACACCAGCAGTTAATAAATACTCATCTTCCTGGATGACATCCAACAAGTCTGACTTTCATACAAACTTTAGCAATCTTCCCGTCAATCCTCAAATCACCATCACACACAATCAATCAGAAGCACTTCCATGTAAAGATCACATTTTTTTTTCCTTACGAATACACATAGAACCATATAAATCATATTGTATAGAATTTTCCTTATGTTGGAGAGGAGATTGAGAGGTGGGTTACATGAAATGGAGATGGTGTGAAGAGGAGAACGGTTGCTTGTCTCCGGATATAATTGACACAGAAAAAATATTTGTTCGTTGCTGTTGGTGTGCTGCTGCTGTTGCTAGGCTGTTGCCATTATTTTGTTGGCTGGCAGCGGCCGGGTTGCCAGCAGCAAGAAGAGAGAAACAAAAAAAGAAAGAGGAGGAGAAGGCTAGAGGTTGTGTAGTGGCTGGAGTATGAAAAAGAACATGGGAGAAAGAAGAGAGAAGATATTGGTAGTGACGGTTACTGACAGCCGTCAACAGTGTTTGCCGGTGCCAGTGATGGTGGTCGTAGATTGTAGGAGGATTTTGGTGCGGAAAATGGGAGAGAATGGTGGGATGTGAGAATTAGTGGGATTGACAAAGATCTGGAAGACGAGAGTGAGTCAAGTGAAGAGAATGAAGAGGGAGGAGATGATATAAGGGAGAGGTTATGCGTGGAAAACGGGAGAGATTGGTGAGATGTGGGAATCAGTGCGATTGACAAAGATCTGGAAGACGAGAGGGAGTCAAGTGAAGAGAGTGAAGAGGGAGAAGATAATATAAGGGAGAGGTTATGGTTTAACTGGGAGTAAGGTGTCATCATAAATAGGTTAGGCATACAAAATTTATGGTTAGATTAAAATGACATGGTATAAAATATGACATGGTTTCACTGGGAATTGAGTGTTACATGAGTTAATTGCTTATAATTTTCTGCTTTACATCTCATAAAATAGTAGTATATTCACTCATGGCCCATCTCTAAAGGATACTTTTTATGGTGAACTCTTTAGAGGTTAGAAGAGATGGATGTCAAAAATATTCCCATTGAAGATGGACAAAAGCAATTTGATGTTGTTGATAAAGATGATGTAGTAGTTTTGCCTGCTTTTGGAGCTGCTGTTGATGAGATGTTCACCTTGAGTCAAAAGAATGTACAGATAGTCGATACAACATGTCCATGGGTATCAAAGGTATGCTTTCATTTTCATGTCTTGGTTATGAGCTAGGATTCTTGATTGAGTACTTTCAGCTAATCTTTATTGTTATTATTATTCGTTCTGGAAGGTCTGGAACACTGTTGAGAAGCATAAGAAGGGAGATTATACTTCAATAATTCATGGTAAATATTCCCATGAAGAGACGATAGCCACTGCCTCTTTTGCAGCAAAGTATATAATTGTGAAGAATATTGATGAGGTATATTCTGAATCTGCCTGTTTTAGGCACATTCAATGTTATTTTGTGGTTCATTACTTTGTTTTAGATTAATGTACATGTTTCATCTTCCTTTATCATACCAGGCAATGTATGTATGTGATTACATTCTTGGTGGTCAGTTTAATGGGTCTAGCTCAACAAAAGAGGTGTTCCTTGAGGTACAATTTTGTGTCGTCTAGTTTTAGCTCCTATGAGTCTATAACAAATTGTAAGGTTTGGCTGAACATGTCTATGCATATATGCAGAAATTCAAGTTTGCTGTTTCTCCCGGATTTGATCCTGATACTGATTTAATGAAAGTGGGCATTGCTAATCAGACGACAATGCTCAAAGGCGAAACAGAAGAAATTGGTCAGTTTTCTGATGCTTTATCAAATTTCATTTTCCTTTTTCTTTTAAAATTTTCCATATTGATTTTATATATTTGATCATCAGGTAAATTGGTTGAGAAGACAATGATGCGGAAGTATGGAGTTGAAAATATTAACAATCATTTCATTAGCTTTAACACAATTTGTGATGCCACTCAGGTCAACTCTCTTTCTATATTCATCTCCATGAAAAGTAGATCTCATCTGTGATTATAGTCTCTTTCCACGATCTTCTCCTTTCCATCTTAGGCAAAGATGTAGATTTCTATAAGTTGTTCCTTTTTCCTGAACAAGTGTTCACCTTCTCTACAAGTAGTCCCTTTCCATTTCGAAGTAGATGAATCTCTCCTGGTTGCTTTTTCCTTTTCTCAACAGACTTGCTCTAATAATGTTATCTTGATTCTTAACAGTAGTTTCTATGCCAGATTGAGACTTATGAGATCTTTGTATATTAAGCACGCTGCTTTATACCTTTCAAAAATACCTGCTTGCTTGTGTAATGTCTTAACGGTTTAATTGACATTTATTTTAGGAGAGACAAGATGCCATGTACAAACTGGTGGAGGAGAAAGTTGACCTGATTATGGTAGTTGGTGGATGGAATTCCAGTAATACCTCACATTTGCAAGAAATTGCAGAGCTCAAGGGAATTCCATCATACTGGATTGATAGTGAGAAAAGAATTGGACCAGGGAACAAAATAAGTTACAAATTACTTGTAAGCTCAAGATTATCAGATGTTGATTCTTGTTGAAGGTTAATGATTATTGTCTTGTTATGCGACAATAGTGATATATTTTCCCTTTCTTACAGCATGGAGAGCTTGTCGAGAAAGAGAATTGGCTACCTACAGGTCCCATCACCATTGGAATAACTTCTGGTGCTTCTACTCCAGATAAGGTAAATCAATATTGGAGGTCACTGTTTGACATATTTTACTTGAGTTTCATGCCCTTGTGATGCAAAAAGTTTAGTGTACTTTTTTGTTTATAAACCCAGAGATTTATCCTGATTTAACTTTAAACCACGCACTGAATCATTCTTAAACCAACATACCATACTGAATTAATTTTAAACCTTGTTTTCGTATTTCGTCATTGATGTTTTTCTATAATTTTATCTAATTTTCCATAGTTAAATTGCTGCTATATTTTGGAGTAAGGTTCTATGTTTTTGGGCTAACTTGCTATTTCTTTTAACACCGTATATAAAATTGCTAAATATCGAAACTGGATTTAAAAATAATTCAATGTGGTATTTTGGCTTTAAGAATGCTTTTGGAAGTTGAGGGTTAACAATAAATCAGGGTAGAACTTTGGGTTTCTAAATAAAAGAACCCAATGAATTACCTGATCTCCTGTACTTTATTAATTTTCAGAAATTGTTTGTTCTTAGGAGTGTTATTGCTTGAGATGCAATGCTTCTGTCAGTTGTGCACCTTTTGCAGTAGACCAGCTCTAAGTTTTATTTATAGATTTCTAAGCAAGAAATTAGGATAAGCTTACATAGTTTCTCATGGACTAGAACAAACTTCCCTAACTTTCCTAATACGCTAACTACCCAAATATTCCTCATCAAGCTAGAGCATGTATAAGAATTATGTTCAATCATTACATAATAGCAGAATTTTTTTCCTATGTAATATTTTGTACAAAAAGAAGCAATCAGGCTGCACCAACTAGTTATCTTTTTCCAATACTCACCATTTTATCAGGAACAATGATAGTCAAAAGCCTTATCAAAGAAATTGGCTGACCAACCGTAACCAATTTCTGTTTCTTTTTTCTTATGAGTGCATATTTGACATGCAAATATACAGTAGAAAGAAGGTTGAATTAGAAGCATATCAGCAACAGTAAACAAGGGAAGCTGATCAAATATTGTTGGATTTTGTTCGGTTTGGATTCTTTTTTCCAAATTTTATCTAGAAGAACGTAATACCTAAGGTTGTTTTTGCGGCTGGGGAAGTAGCAAAATGACAAAGCTGTCAAGGGGATGCATGGAGATGGCACTTGTGCCGACAGGTCCCTTTTACTGCCTCGTATTTTAGCTTTAAGAAAAAAGAGGCTTCTAGGGTTAGGGAGTTTGTCTCTGATATCATGTTATGGTTGAAAAATGACTTCCAAGTGTTATTTATATGAAAGAAAATATGATGCAATTACTTATTTCTTGTCTCAGGTATATTGGTTCCAACTAGAATAATTTCAGCCAGTCGATGGATACACCCAATATTTTTATGTCACGAGCTTCGAAGTTGTTTTCTAGATAAGCAAATATTAACTTTGCCCAGCTCATGCATGCCATGCAATTTACAACATTCTCTCTTTCAGAATATAAGGTGGCGTAAGCTCTAGCCTTATTTTATAGAATTAATATATAAATATGTAAGGATCTTATGGCCTAGCTACAATAAGCTACACGAAGCAGCGAAAACCATTGTCATTCTTCAAAACGTTCAGCTCCGAGCAGTTAAGCATCAGGAACACGGAGAGCAGACTAGAACCTTTGAAATTTATAACCATGCTTGTGGCACTGCTACATCACTGACCAGCACCTAGTTGCACAGAACCCGGTTCGTTCCGGTTCACAGGACGGAATGGGAGCGTAGTGTGCCACTTATTTGGAATCAGGTACGATGGGTAGGCTTATGCTTTTATGGTACACTAGGGTACGTGGTACGCTTTTTGTTCGGTTTTTAAATATAGAAACCCGAGTGCTTTAAGGGACAATTTTCTTTAAGAGTTTCAAGGATCAACAATGATAAAAGAATTCTCAAGTTGCAATTAAGGTACACTTTTTGTTGTTTATATTCCCGGAAATGGTTGTTTTCTTTCAAATATTAACTAATATGAATTCTAAATCGGGTCGCCGAAGTTGGTGAACTGGATCGTGCAGGAACACGACCTAGTTCGCCAGTGTACTGCGTTCCGGGACGATTGAACCCGGTTTGTAGTTTCCTATAGTGTCCCAATTTCCTGACATCTACGGACCAGCATCGCAGTTTCACAAAGTCTTCCGAGATGCACAACCCTTTTCTTGAAAAGTCATCAAAGAATAAACTCTGGATCCTCAAACTTGGCAATTAGTCTCTTCATTTCTTACAAAAAGAGACCATGAATCATCTATAAGGCAAATAACAACCATTATGTGATGATTCTTTATTTGTGATCTATTCTGACTGGTGAACTGCTTAGGGAAAATTTCCCGAGTTTCCAACAGTAAGTGTGGTTATCCAACTTGCCAATCGAGCTCTTCATTCCTTAAAAGAAGATGAATGCTCTAATTGATCCCATTAAACAAATAGGGATAGCTGCCTTACAATTTGTTATATGTGTGCGTGTATATATGTATGTATGTAGGGTGTTTCTTTTTTTTTTTTTTTGGGTTGTTTTGTGTGGGTGGGGAGGAATCCTACATCTGTGTTTTCTCTGAATTGTTCTCTCTTTCTCACTTTCTCACATGACAAGTTCTTTTATAGTTGCATCATCATATTCACTTATTAGGATATTAATGTTTTGGCTAAGCAGGTAGTTGAACTGGTTCTGTCCAAGGTATTTGACATCAAACGCGAAGAATCTATGCAGCTGGCATAAAACTGGGACAAGTGCATGTATCTTCAGGAGCAGAGCTTTAGGCAAAGTTAAAGCTGTGAAGAGAACCTCACCTCCTTGCCAATTATGTATAGTACCCAATGTCTGGGTCACCAATATGTGCACTTATTCTGCTAAAATTAATGTGAGAAATGGGTTACATATCTAGTTGTTAGCTTTGATGGTAGATATTTGTTGTAGACCAGACCCTCTTCCATATAATTTACATTTATAGTGCAATATCTGTTCTTCTAAACTCCAATCCTTTGATTGATAACCGATACTTCTTGAAAGCATTAGAATTAGGATTAATTTTAGAAAACCCTCTCGACTATGTGGGCTGTCTCATAAATCAAAGCGACCCCATCTAAAAAACCCTCCTTAACTATGGGGTTTGTTGTCTCACTCAACTTACAAAATATGATTTATCCCCCCTCAATTTTCCTCACTTAAACCCCTAAACTAATATAATTAAAATATAAAAGAATAAATAATTTAAAATGACCATACTATATACCTAAGACATCAAAATTTTATCATTTTTAACTTTTTTGGTTTAAAATACCTTTTATTTTATTTTCCCCATCTTCTTCTTCCTCCATCTCTATTGCTAGGTTCACGTGTGAATCTAATTTTTTTTTAACACTAAGCTTCTTTTATTTTTTACTTATCTAGGCTTGTAATGTTTGAAACAATTAAAACTTTTGATTTTTTTTTAAAGATTAGTTTCCTCATCAAAATCAATCGAATTGAAGTCTAATATTTTGATTAGGTTGAGTTTTTAATCTCATATGATTTTTTTTTCAATCAAGGGTATTTTAGTCATTGCATATTTTAAATTAATGATATTAGGGGGGTTATTTGAAAAAAATATAAACATAAAGGGGGTTTAGTGAGACACCCCATAGTTAAGGGAGGTTTAATCATAGCTAGAAAGTTGAGGGGTTTTTTCTACAATACCCTCAAAATTATGGGGAGTTTTCCAAAGTTAAAATGGTTGAGGAGTGTTTTCTAAGATAAGCTCCGTTGAGGGGGGTTTCTAAAATTAACCCTTAGAATTATATATTGTATATTAGTGCTAACTTTTTGTGCTAGAATTTTTTTCCCCCGGGCATAAAGATGGCCCAATCGGTAGTAACTAAGTGGGTAACTAAATAGCTACACGAATCTATGAAAATACATATTTGACCATGAATAGTTTTAATCCGAATCGTTCATTATTATCTACACGTTATCAAATCTGAAGTAGATCAAAGTTCACATAAATTAGAATGTTATAGGCTATAGTTCAAGCAACTTGAAAAATGCAAACGGTTATATACCATTCATTTTCAGGTCATAAGATGTATAGGCTAGGAATATTCAACAATGTGAAATTTTATTTCCATGAATTTTAGATGTATAGATCATTATGAATGGTTTGAATCATTCATACCGATTGTTGAACATGAATTTTTTTAAATGTGTAACATAATTAGTTACACTATATGCATATTATAACCGCCCCGCGACTCAATTTGTATATCTAGCATCAATCTCATGTTTTGTATACATCGTTTCTTGAACAAAGTCTTGATTTTGAATTTTGTGCTAACCAGCTATATATCCCTGAACATGTTTCTTTAAATCTAGGATTTGCATTCTTCTCCATAGAAATCCACAAATTTGTGCAGTGTCTTTCAATTTCTTTATGTTGGCAGAGCAAGGGAGCATCTAATAATCATGTGCATAAATTTAAACCGGAGAGAAGAATCTTATAAGAATGGTGTGTGACAATATCATCTGAGCTAAAACTTTGTACGATATGTGGGCTAACTTTAAATTTTAGATCCATTTGGTCCTCTACAATGTAGGCCAAATTGTAAAATAAAATAAATAAATAAATCAGAACGCAGCAAATGTAAAGGTTTGTAAGATACAGGTGAGTTAGGTTAATATAATATAGTGGGGTCTATTTTGATTTAAAAAGACTAATGAGTATCTTTGCAACGTGAAGGGAATTCTCTTGTAAACACTGTGGTCCAATTTTAACCAAAGTGAATAAAGAGAAAAGAGAATTACTAATAGCTACAGATTTTTTGAGAATCACATTGTATATGAGAGAATCTTCTCATTTGAAATAAGATACTCATTAATCTATTAAGAAATTAACCTCTTGATAACTGTAAACGTATTTAATTAAAAATTCAGATCCTCTCTACTACAAAAAGAAAAGAAAAGAAAAGAAAGAAAGAAAGAAAGAAAGAAAGAAAGTGGAGAGACAAGTACTATATTCTAAATTGTCTTTGAGTGTAAATTAGGAAATAAGTGCAAATGAGAGGAGTGTGATGGGTGTTAGATTTGCAGTGAATCATAACCATATACTAGACAAATTAACGGCAACGATTAATGCAGTGCTCTCTACTGCTTGTTTGCAGTGGAGAGGATCCAAATCCTTTAATTACTCGTCAATATTTCTAATTTAGGATTAAATCTCATTTTATGTTCTTTTATTACGAGAGGGGGAAAAAAGATGAAT